GCGGAACCGCCGTCAAGCATTGCGTCACGGGAATGGCAGATCGGCTTATCGCTCTATGCCAACTTATTCCACAGGAATACACCTTCGTAATCGATCTTCTAACCGAAGCTTCTTCAAAACCTTTACGGCATAGATGGCTACCGCATTCCAATTCTCTTGGGACACTAGCATCCTAGTGACGATGGTATCAGGAATCACTACATGCAGGAGACGGTGGCGTTCTTTTCTCTCCTTCACGAAGCGTGGACAATTAAAAAACATGTGCTCACATCGTCATCCAATGGGTCAACCGTTGGGCATGAGAAGTCATCATCCAATCGGAAACGAAATTGTTATGCAAGATAGCACCCACGCCCCTTTAAGAACTGGGTTAAATAATTATCCACATATCCGTGCTTCCTTTCAATCCACTTCGTTACGCCAAGATTAAGAAGGAATGTCTTCCAGTGGATAATAGAACCCGTCGCCGTTGCAACTGAGCCATTGCCCCCTGTCTTCCTTCATGATGCTGCTATTTGCTCCCTCTCCCTCTCCTTACGTCTGTTGCGCCTCACCATTTCTTGTACCATGAGGGCTACAGGGGGCATTTCGGCTATCACACACAGACTTATAAAACCTTGTGAAACGCCCGAGCCATCCTCAAGGCGGATCTTCTATGCACCAACTTCGCACCACGGTCCTACGACTGGATCCAAAAAGCATCAGCCCAAATGAGTGCTGCGTAGAGCAGCGTAGAGTTACGTGCTTCGGCAACTTTGCCTTGGACCCCCTACGCTCGGCATAATTCGTACCTAGGCCGAGGCCGTGCGGGACGCTTTCTCGCAGACTACGCACAAGTGCTTGTTAAGCGCAGTTTCGCGTCAATCCCGAGTCCTATCTTATATTGCTGAGAAGCTATTTTACAGTGTGAATAATACCCTTTCTCACTTTTCCGCCTGTCCCAAAACAGGCTCTTTTTTATTCTCGGCCATCTGGTGCCTCACCGAAATAAGCCAATGCCGGATCAGAGCCACAGCTTTGTTTGAAATATGCGTGCCCTCTTCAGTGTATTTGCCGACCACTACCACCGCAACATCGTCAGCAAATCCAATAGCTCTGGCGCCTGCTAGCATCAAGAACTTCAAAAATCGGTCAAACGTAATATTCCACACAGCGGGCCAAGTATCGAGCCTTGCAGAACACCGCCCGAAATACTCCCGTTTCTTATAGCAAAATCCTTTCCTCGAAGTAAGTGGACAATATTCACTATGTAATTTGGATCTCCCAGCTTTTTAGCGCAACAAGAATGAAACCTAGCAGTATTAAATGTGTTTCTAACTTCGAGGATAAACAATAACGCAATACTTCTTTGCGCCGCATCTCCATCGTTTACCCTCAATAGCTTTTATGTGCGAGGTCGATTACGACCATGGTAGATCCCCCCTTCCTTAAACCGAACTGATTATAAGAAAACGTTTTTGTAACAAGAACAAAACACACTGTTTCTGGAAGATAATTTGCCTCTCAATGCACATATAATTTCCAAATTTCTCTATCGGCCTCAGTTTTCATGTTTTTGTAAATGCGTGTGTCTCCCTATGTATTATATGTATCTAGCAAAGTAACACGCTCTAATTACGAGTCTAAATTTATACAGTAAAAAATACGACTCAAATGTTAGAAAAATAAGAAACATAGCTAAAAATATTTTCTTCCCAATTTCTTGCGATACTTTGCCTTGGGAACATCTCTTTGTAAGGCTTAGCAGTAGTAGTAGAATATTGCTTCACTACAAATACTTTAATAAAGCTTTTCCATTAGAGAAATATCCTCGTGGAACCATTCGTCACTCACGACCCCAAGGTTATTCGGGAAGATGTCTGAATGATCAATCGAAAAATGTAGTTTACTGATACGTTACATCCCGGACGGTAGTATGGGATGTAACACATGAGATAGATCTCGTATTATGGTTGCCTAAAACGTTTTTACTTGTGAAAGTTTGCTATGACTTTTTTCAACGTCGTTTAACAAATCAGTGAAAGGCATTAATGATCATCATTCATTAAGATCTCGTTTGCCTAAAAAGTTTTTATTTGTGAAAGTCTTTATGCCTTTTTTCAACATCACTCAATGCATCAGTGAAAGGAAGTTCATCAGGCACTTATTTTCAATTTTTTGGTTTTACAAATATTATTTCCTTTATGTTTGCTAAACTGATACTTGGGAACTTCTCTCGCAAATACTTTAATCCATCCATGGTCAACAAGACGAGTGTTAATCACAAATTTTCTATCCAGGCAGTACTTTAATCCATTCAGACCATTTTCACAGTAGTGATGTTTTATCTCTCTGCAACAAAATGCATATTTGTCCACATCGTCATCAGTTGCGTTGAAATTATGGCGAAGAGCCTCCATAACGAATTCATACGGAATGTCAACGATGTAGCTGCGACCATTCAGGACAAAGGTCGGGCTGTTACGCGTGTTGCAGAGTCAGACTTTGAACAGGTTGTCCAGGAGAGCCATTCCACGTTGGTTCGTAACCCTGCTACCCTACTTAGTGGCTCATGCATTAAAGTCCCCAGCAAAAATGAGACCTTCATTCTCTCAAATCATCCATTAATCGATCGAGTAATGTCTTGAACTCCTCAAGCAATGCACTGGGTGCGGCATAAACACCATTAAAGTATCTACCGAACCCCTTGATCCAGACGAATCCATCCTTTGGGACTTGCATAACCACCAGGACTCGACGATTTCGACAAATCCACACCGCAGCTCGGTTAGTTACGTCCGAAACCCATTGAGCACCGGCTATATTCCTATACTACTCGCACAGGATCACAAAGTCTACTTCAGCTCGCGCACTATATGGCTTCTTCGCTGCCTCGCAATGTTTACGGTTGAGCTGAGGACCCTCATTCTTCCAACTCCATTCCGCTTTCCGTGAATCCTTATGGCAATACGGGCACTTTTCATGCGTCTTTGTCTTTCCCTTGAGAGGCAACATTAGGGGGTTTCATGCAGGTTCCAGAAAAAGTCCTCCCTCACGATGACCCTTCTTGGACCCATCGGACCCTTTATAGTTTCGCGCCAAGTGCCCAAAAGCCGCACCTGTAACAACTATATTCTTCCGGATACGACACAGACCTCAGCCAAACCGGATTTTGTTTATTGGAATGACTTTTCTAACTAGATCTGCTGGTAGTGCAATCACAGCTATTTGGATGCCACCGTATGCGTTGCTAATGGACTTAACTACTACTTTCATGTCCTTGACTCCATAGAGCTGCCTCTCAAAGAGCTCAAGAATTTTTGTCCATCGTAACTTCGTCCACAACTTTGATCACCAAGATTTGACCAAGTCTGTACCTCACCTTTTTTTCATTTCAGTTCATTGACCACTGCTGTCTGAAACTGCGCTGCCTTCGAGCAACCAGCGACTCCCATCTTCGAAAGGCAGGTCTCCTGGGCCTCTCTTCCTTATTTTAACTTCATTGAAATCACTGATAAGGCATCCAGACCCTTGGGAATGGAGTGCAATTGTTTCCTACTTGCCTCAACTGTCATCCAATGGTTCTCGGATGCATCAACGGACTCAGGTGATGTCCTCACCAAGGTGAGCGACTCTTCCATGCTTGGTGACCCGACCACTCCCGACTTCTTTTCTTTCTTCTTGGACCAGAGGCGGGATTCAGGGCAACTGGCCCCCTCCGTGTTGGGGACAATTTAAAAATGTATATTTAGACATTTTATTTCGCGATCTTCAAATTTATATTAAAATATTTACTTTTTCTGGATTTTGAGGAAAAAATCTCTATACTGTATTTGAGTAACTGTGAGTGTGCGTGAAGACGTGTGTGCGAATCCAACACGGTTAGTCCTCTTCCCGTGCACCAAACGCCGCGTAGCTACTCAGTCTCCTGGTGGGAAAATAATAATTAATTTTTAGATCCGGCCCCAAGATTCTAATAAATTTTAAAAACGTGTTTTAACGCTGCCATTTTAGTGAGTATGCCAGGAATTAAACCAACGCCACCCAAATGGATCAATTTAGGTTACGTTGAATGCAACAAGTAAAACTCCGCAACAGATTTCATTTAATTGGCATCCTTATTAACGTCTTTTTAAAAATACATTTTCAAAAACCAACGAACAGTATTGCCTTGGAACATATTAAACTTGAAGAACTCAAGTTGGAGAAAACCAAACTGGGAGTAATGCTACAGAAGCACACTTAGGTTCTTACGTTCGACATCTCACATTTACATTCTTAAGCCTGCAAATACCGATTTTCAAATGAATGTGAGCAACAATTTATTCTCATTAAAAAGTAACTAACACCTTATTCACATAAACATAGAAAACAGTCGTCTTTTCATTTTTATAGATTCACTTACAAAACAATAGATAGAGCAATTGCAAAAGTACAAGTGAATACAATTAGACTGACTTTATGGACTTTAATTTCTTTAAAAATTAGGGGTACAAATATGGAAGTGTTAAGAAAAATCCGGGGAATAATAAAATGTAGTTGTAGATTTTGCGATAGAATTTTCGGAACTAATTCAGAATGATTTTGTTAGAGAATAACGTTGAAGAGGAACTGACAGATGATTTTATGTGCATTTCTGTGCATATTAGCAAAAAGAAAAATATGTAGCTGTATTAAATTCTAACCATTGCAAAATGCAAATGTTTGATTGTGTTCTTATGCTTATTCTCATACTGTGAGATACAGCTGATGTTGTGCGACAGCAAAGCTTCAAGGAAGAAGTCACACACCATTAAATGTTTGTTATTCATCTGTTGCATTAGGAAATAGCATGTTTGCTTATATTCTTTGTAGGTTGCATTGGGTCTGAAATGTTTACAATGCTGTGTTATTGGAGTATTTGTAAATACTGTTTTTGTTAAAATATTTAATTTATTGTAGTGCTGCACATGAAGATTTTATTTGCTATTCTTGAGAAGTGTGTGTGTGTTACATAACCACTTTGCATGGTTTTTGTTCAGTGGCACTTTTGCTGCTGCAGACCAACTTTTTACTGAAGTCTGCTGTATGATTTCCCTTTCCAGATTCTTGCCCAAAATAAACTTGATTGATTAACTTCTTTTGTAGGGGGATCAGCATTGTCCTTCCTATATGAGAACTAAATTATTTTGCAATCTCTTGGCATTTTCTCAAGCACCCAATTTTGTACTTTTTTCTACATTATGAATTTTGAAACATAGCATCATAGTAATTGATTTATTTTACCATCCAATATTATCTGCACACAGAAAGCATCAAGATTTACAAGTTGTCATTCACCAATTCATTTTGTATCAGGCATCAGAAGTGTAAAGATGTTAGTAACAAAGTTTCTGAATATCTTAAAAAAATTAATTTTTCACAAGCAAAATTTTTATTTTTATATTGTGGGTCTCTTACATAAAATGACCATTTAAAAATTACTTCTTTTAAAGATTTGTATAAAAGATTAAGATTTCCAAAAGTGTTTCACGCAACACAATATGGAGAACATATAAAGAATAAACACATAGTATACAATATAAAAAGTAATGAATGATTACAAAAATCACATTAGCTAAAAAACTCACCACTTTTGCATGGCAATAACATACTTTTTATAAAACTACATCATTTTTTAACACATTTATCATAAAAATAAAAAAAAATATTTTTAGTCTACAAATGGAATTTTATCATGGCATCATCTTTGGTCTGTTCCCAATTTGAATGTTTAACAAGGCGTCTGAGTTCGATAAACAGGATAGCGAGGAGCAAATTTCAAGTTTCCTTGAAGGTTTTCAACATCTCCTCGTTCCTGAATATTCACAGCACCCAACATACAATCTTCATAAGCAGGAGGAGCTGCAAAATAATTCAATAAATTTTCATCAACAAGTCAGTACCTACAATGAGAGTATAGGAAAGAATGAAATGAAAAAGAAGATTAAATGTAGTTAATAATTTACAATTGTTGATAATAGTTAATCAGTTTATTTACAATATCTCTCAAAAAAATGCTTTGAAGTCTTAATCATACTATTCAAACTTAAGCACCCCAACGTTTTGGTTGTGAAAGTTGAAATAAATAATGATAATAAATTAATACTAAAACTATATTAATTTGTCCACAGGTCAAAGAAATTTTTATTTACTTAATACTTTATTAAGTAAATAAAAATTATTTAAGAACATTGTTTTTGCATTATTCAATTTTGTTTTTCTTGTTAGTGCCGTAATTCTGATAGAATGTTGGCACCCATATATCAGCCAACTAGATAACTGATATTTGGCTTTCCTGGACATAAATAAAATGATAAATGACAAAAGAGAGTGCGTTATAGGATACAGAACATGATTGTTTGCTTCAGAAATACAACAATAATGAGGTAAAAATACTTTACATGGGATTCCATACAATTGTGGTGAACAGCAGTTACTAGCTCAGCCATCAGTGTTAACAAGGTCAAGATTCAATGGTTTAACTAATTTCTATGACTTAACTAATGTTCATGCCATGAAAGAACACCACAAAGACAATGGAAATGTTTTTTTTTTTCCCTCCAAATTTATAACATTAATTTAATACAATATTAATTAATATCCCATATCATCAATGTTAGTTAACAATATATAATTACATTATATATAACAATATTAATACCATACTACTTGTTATATAACTATTCAAGAATATTAATTAGTAAGAAACTATAAAAATAATTTATTTTATTTCTGAAATGAAAAAGAAAGTTAGAAGTTAAAAATACAGAATTTTTTTACTTCACTGATGTTTCCAGTTATAGTTGAGGTCTTCATCATATTTTTGTAATGACAAGGGGAAAATGGTCTCAATATATCTACTTTTGAAAATTATTGGAGTAAAGATGATTTGTATTTTCAACTTCTTATTTGTATGTATTTCTAGAAATGTAATAAATATTTCAATTTAATAGTTTTCTTTTCTTTCTGATCTGTTAAATGGTCATAAAATAAATGTTCATCATGTGTGATCTAGCAAATGTTCTAAAAATTGATCTTGTCATCTGCTTTTTTTTCCAATTGCAAGCAAAATACAAATTACTATTTATTATAAATGTTTTATATTTTTAATAAATTCCTAATAAATTATTAAAATTTATGATTTTAAGGCTTAATTTTCAAATACAAGAAAGCAACCAATGCTGAAAATAAGTATTTCACCAAGAATATTGGACTACTTTTTGGATTTTTTAAAAATTGATAATATATTTTATTGCAAGACCACCAAAGATGGCTGTGCCACACCTAAGCTACTAGATGGTACTTCCATGAGATCAATAAGAGCATTGAGAGAGGTGACATGAAAATTCGAATGACGCATTAGAATGATGGAGATTACAACAAAACAGGGGAGCACAACAATAGTTATTTAACACATTTATGTCCAGAAACAGCAAACAACCTTATCAACTTTGAATCTGTGGATCAAGGAAAATTGGTAGAAAAATCTGATCAAGGTAGGGGACATTGACCTAGAAACTCAAGTACAACACTTCTTACAGGCATATTTCATCATTTAGAATGATACAATACAAATGTTAACTTATGCATTATAAATCTTTGTTAAAATAAATAATAAATAATATTATATGATTTTTTTGCACATAAAATACTGAAAAGTTTTTAACTGTTTAATGTCACTTGGCAATATGTTGTAAAGTAATGTAATTCATGTGTTCTTTGTGGATTTCATGTAGTGATTTGTTGATACTGTCACCTGATGAATATGTTTTCTATGACACTTGTTGTAATACCTGCATTGCATTAAAATACATTCCCACCCCATGCACTATGAAGACAGAATTGCAGGAATCACAAGGATGGCATTTGCTTAAAATTAGTACATTTTTTCTGCAATCTCACGGACTGGGCACTATAGAATAAGTTTCTTCATAGTATTATGACATATCTCAGGTGGGAATGTATAGCCTGTTTGCAAATATACATAAAATAAGTTACAAGAAGCCTGACTGAATTTAAATGGATTGTGAATGCATAAAATAATTAATTTATTTTACTGTTCCTTTCATTTACATGGATATTCCATTTGAGGTTTGACTAAATTGAGAATCCCAGAATTACTGAAATTATAACACCTACCAATTGCATATTGTTCACTTTCAATGGTAAATGCGATTGTATGTTTGAAATGCAAAACTGCATAGAAACCATTTTTCCTTTGCATACTAATTTGTTATTACAAAAAATAATTAAAAAATATGAAATTGTAGTACTTATTGTTTCTTTTTTGCAAAGAATATTTATCTCATCAGCAAAGAGAACTGTACTTCTATTTCAGATGAAATTTCATTTATATATAAAAGAAAGAGGATAGGGTCTAAAATTGAATCCTATGGGACCCCCTATCAATCAGGAAACAATTAGAAAGATCAGAAAACAATGTTCTTATATACCATTTCTACTCTTTATGATCAATGTTTAAAGTATGAGGATCTCCAATCCTCAGATATTCTACAAATTCTATTTTTTTATGTAGCTTTGAAAGTAAAATTTTATATTCAATGGCATCAAAATCCTTTATAAGATGCTTTATTTTGACCCTTGGAAGAAGCAATATCACTAAGAAAAGAAAGGAAATAAAGGCTATATTTGTAGTTTTTCTTATTCTAAATTCACGTTCAATTTAAAAATGCTTAGTTCTTCCTGAGAAATGTTGAGAAATTAAGCAGAAGCCTAATATTTTTTTTTTAATCTGCCAAAAGAAAAACTGGCTGATAATTTTGAATTTTGTTATTGTTCCCTTTTGTGGTGTAGTTAGATTTTTCATGTTTTGAAAGTATCTGGAAATATTCCTGTGCATAAAAAAGCATTGAATCTGTGAGCTGGTGGCAGGTGACAGAAATATCAAGGCTGGTGCAGAAGTTTTTAAAAAGCCATCCATAAATTCATCTTAACCATTCAAATATTTCTGTTTTTATTTACAGGCTATTCCAGGAATATCATTGAAAGACATTTTGGAAACAAACTTCATCTCATTCTATACGTTTCTCATACGTAACTTCTAGTAACATACAAAGTTATGTAAAGCTGCGGAAAATCAATTTTGAAATTTCATTGGAAATACAAATTTTGGTGTCCCCCTATACCGAAAAAGGTTTTGTGAACTGATTGTATCTTGTAAATGTTCGTTGGTCAGTCGCCTGTATTCAACAATCACGCCTAAACTATTCCAGCGGCAAGATGCCCACAAGAAGCTCAATGTGGGTGGCCGAGGTAAAAGAGGACTTATTATTACGGGATATTTTTATTATTTAAGGTACTAACACTACTTGTTTGCTATACATTTTTATAAAGAGGCCCAGATAAAAGTTTAATGGGCGCGCCTGAACTCCTTTTGTTATGCTACTGAACTATTCATAGATTTTTTCGAGTACTCCCTCGTCAATCTCACCCCATTCGAAACTCTGCTATTTTCAATACCATGCTTTAACTTTTGGGAGTACTTTCCATGAAGCCCCTAAAACACTTTCAAAAGTTTCTTAAAGATGGTTCCATTTTTTCTTTAAATATTTTGAAAGAAAAGAGTAAAATATACTTATAAAGATGCAGGAGTGGGATTCAGGAGGGGGGGCAAGAGGAGGCAACTGCCCCCGCCCCCCCACACACACACACACACCTTGAGTCAAATATATTATTGAAGATTTACTTTTTTCTGAATTGTTTAAAGAAATTTAATAATAATAAAGCGAACAATAATTTTATTAAGCTGAGCTAATAACCTATGTTCAGAAATTGGTGAAATAATCAATTAGATAATTGACTAAATTGAAAATATGTAATTGCAGCACAACTCACTTAAAGCAGTAATATAAACGATTACTTTCATGTTTATAATAGCTCCCAATAAAATATCCAAAATTTCATCTCTATAAATATGGCATATCCGTTTTTTACTGGTAACTCTAAGTTATCAAAAATTGCAAAAGTTTGAATTTTTTTTGAGTGTTCATTACATGGAACCTCAATTACTTTTCAAACTTTTCTCAAAAATGGCTCATTTGAATAAAACTTTGTCCTTGCATTGTGTAAAACACTTTTCAAAGAATGGCGGAGGTCTCATTTTCGTTCAACTTTCTAATTTTTCGAAAATTGCACAAGTTCAAAATTTTTTTCAGGGTCTTTCTACAACTATAAAATTGAAGATTGAGATTTTTCTTTCAAATGAAATTTCTTCTCCATAATTATTTTTTCATTAAGTCAATGATCTTTTTTTGAGATTTCATTCATTTTGATCCAATATTGAGTTAAATGTGTACAATATTAAAAAATGTGAAAAAACAAGAATTTCTCAAAAACAATATATTTTTTTACACTTTTGTAGGAATAGTACTAAATATAATATCAGAGGTAACATAAACACCATTTTGCTCAATTCTTTGTTGTTCTTGTTGTTTTTGTAAATAACACAAATTTAATTTTTTGGACGTCTCTCACGTCGTTAATATTTACATTATTGGCGATGTGGTTACATTGCATTAATGAGTACATGTATTTCAAATGATGTCTTTAAAAGTTTCTCTAAAACTCAAAAGTGTTGTGTAAGTGAGCTCCAAATTCCACATTTTCAGAAACGCTCAAACACCATTTTCTTGAAAACTGCTCCAATATTTTTCTTTAATTTAGTTTAACAAATAGTGTTAAATGGGCTAAATGTGACATAAATGCATATTGATGTATTCTTTGTTGTTTTTTCAAAACATACATAAATGTATTTCTTTTAAAATAACACTTATGCCATTAATGCTTATATTACCACCGATTTGTATACATTATTGCAGCTGTGAGTAGAAGGGCTTCAAATCATTTCCAATAAAGATTCAGCAAAATCTAAAGGTTTTCTGTGAAATGAGCTTCAGGTTTCTCATTTACACAAATGCTTAAATGACATTTTCTCAAAAATTGGCTCCAATGTTTTCAATGAAAACTGCCCTAGAGTAAGATACTTTACTCTTCTATAATATTCATGTTCATTCATAAGTCAGTTTTATCAGTTCTACGAATATGGGACTAAAAATTAAACCTTAAAAATATACTTTGGGCAGCAATAGATGGTAGCTGGGAAGAGGGTGAGGCAAAACTGAAAAGCTATCCCAGGCCAAAGAAATTTGGAGTAACAAGTAAGTATACGCATAATTATGTTTTAAAAATTATTGTTGGTATAACATGTACAATTTCTTGAAGAAGAAAACAGTAGTTTTTGGATAATTTCTGCTTGAGGTTCATTCAAAATATAAAAAGACTCATTTTCTCAAAACCCACTCCAATGTTTTTTTTCATGGATACAACAAGGAAAGCTTAAAAAATATTCCTTACGGTGGATAATACACTAGTGGATTAAATTCTGAGATATTAAGTTCAGGGCCGGGGTTAGCGTAATGGATGAAATTCCAGCCTAAGAATACCAAGCTTGGGTTTCGATTCTTGCCCTTAATTATGGTGTAGAGGAATGGGCGCATATAAAAATAGTGCAAGTCGTGATATTCATTAAGATAAGTGAATTTCCAAAAAAATGTGCTTTGGAACGTGTCAATTCGAATCTCCCGCGCTTAATTCGCATAGTTTCATGAAGTTGCAGAACCAAAAGGTTTCATTTTGCTATATTATAATACCATGTATCAGTTTCCAATATATGATATGTTTTCGTGTAATATCACTATTTTTAACTTTCTCGCGACTGCTTACGCAATGTTGTAATGCTGCCGGAGAAAAAACCCGAATTTTCGAACCGAAAAAACTTCTATTGGCCGGGGATCTGGTACTACGAAAAGAGAAGATATAATCGCTTAACCATATGCATATATATATATATGTAATATATATATATATATATAGAATTATATATAATTATTATATATATATATATATATATAATAGTATAATATTGTGACGTAAGTGAATAAGAAATTTCATATAACAAAAGCAAAAATAATATATTAAAGATTAATGTACAAGTTACAATGAATTTGCTAATATTATAATAACACTTCCGTGCAACCTTTTCCTTCTACAGAACCACTGCTTTATCGCAGAAAATAAACCAGCCACGCTGATGTCGCGGTGTCGACCTCCGTCCCGTGACAATTACCGTCACATGGCCTGACGACCACAAATTTAACAGCCGGTCGTGGCGACCGTGATGCACTAACAGCACGCGAGATTTCTGGCCCTTACTCTCCGGACACTCGCCCCACACTCAATATACCCCTTGTACACACGTACAAGCTCCGATGCAAATTAAACTGATAATGAGACACGGCGGGCGACAGATGCGCCGCAGTTAAATAGTTGAGGCGGACACCCCACCCATCTGTTACCATAGATAGGCTCGCCGGCTGGCGGCTTGGTTTACGCCCACACATCGGAATTCTCAGGTTGGCTGCCTGCTTCGTAAGCGAGGCTCGCAGGCTAGCATTCCTCGAGTTTACAGCCTACGGTATTTTTTGCTCTGCGGGTTCGTACCATGAAGTCACCGCCAGAGCGCAAACTCCCGCGAAGTTCAGGTTCAACGCCCTTTCATCCCCGCAGCGTACTTTCACCGACCTAACGGTTCTGGCCCTCGTGTTAACGACGCCACAATATTATATTACTTCGAACATGTGGTGTAGTCATAATGGGTCCTGATACCGAAAACTCGATTGGCGGCAAAACGTCTGCCATCTGTGAACAACGCTAGCGGCTAAACTGTAAACAGGATTTTCAACAAAATTGGTATTTCAAAATCGATCTGGTTGCTGTCGCTGCTCCTTGAATTTGAATCCAAAGCCAATAACCGATGCCAAAGGTGATTTTCGTTGCGTTTTTCAGCCATGCAAGAGAGGGAGAAGCCAAGTGATTTCGTGATGGTACGCCTTTCAGGTTAATTCAAAAGAATGTGCTACAAGAATACAAAAAATCAGTTATCGAGTTAAAACTTGCCCTATGTACACAAAATATTGAGTGTTATGAGTACAACGAACAAAAAGGCCACAACAAGTGTTATATTTAGCGAAGAATCAAGATGTTGCCGTGATTTTTAGAGCGTCTGAGTTCCGCGACCTATTTTTTTCATTTCACTGAAACAAGTATACGACCGAACATATCACAGATTTGAAAATAAGCACGGAAAACCGCAAGAACTATTTGTCTTTGCTGTCATCTTGTTAATAAGGTCGCTTTATTAGGTACTTGGCCTTGGAAAAGTGCACTTTTTCTCCTTTGCTGGAGGCGTGAAATCTCCGGTAGTTTCGGAGTTGGACGACCTTTCTGTTCAACAGCTCTTGTAAAATTAACTTCTAAATCGTCCAAGACAAAAAAAAAAGGTATATCCCCTTTGCCCAGTTTTACACGATTGAAATAAAGAAATGGAACGGAACAATTCAGCACAGCTATCATCGAATGAAGATGTGAAGGAAGAGCTTGAAAATACTTTATCTATAGGCAACCCCTCTTCACTGAGAACATAAAAATGCTATTTAGTGTTTCGTCGCCTTGGCATTCAAAGGGAGGGTCAAACAAATTCCACATTACTCATGCGCGTTTGGGCACCCAGACCGGAGTTGTTCTAATTCAAATATGGGATAAGAGATTACGGAGGAACGCCTTCCTTCAGACCGTAAGGCTACATTAAAAAACGTTTCATTACCTGACCGTAACAGCGCTGCATTAGGCGATTACTACACGAGTGGAAAAGAAACTCACAAAAAACTACTAAAAATGTTACAATAAGATTTAAAGCTGAAAAGTATTTTAATATAGTAAAACCAATATAAAAAATCAATATTTTAAGCTCAACAAATAATTGGAGTTTATGAAACCTGTTTTCGAAATATGTTTATTTTTTAATAAAGAATAACTTTGGCAGCACTATTGGCAACTGTCAAGTATCAAAATGTTTGTTTTTTTAATATCAAGTTAAACTTCAACGAAGTACAGAAACGATAAAATATAAAATTCACATAGAATATTTTCCAAAGTAACTGAAAAATCAATAAACTGTACAAACGCGTAAAAAATCAATTATTTGCAAAAATATGTTAGCAAGGACTGCCAGGGCTAAAATTATGATTTTCTTTATTATTTTTGCGTATATTTCGCGAATCAAACAGTCCCATCGTCCGCTGCTGGTTACACCAAGTGACTTTCCCTTGTCAGAATTCCTCCTCAAAGCGATATCAGCTTTCGCGTCGCTTACAAACCGCGCCCTATTTAAACTCGATCAAAGTCAATTCCCTGATAATTATGAAGTCCAAAAAATCAATTGTACATCAAAGCAAATATGTTATTCTGTAATTACACTCAAAAGACAATTTGTGAGGAAGACATTACCCCCTCACCCCCTGAGAAACTATCAGTGAAATTAATAATGTGTATATACAAATAGGGTGACTAATTTGATCAAAATGATTTTTTTAATTAAGCAAAAACTGGCACGAAAGTCAAATTATTTGATCAACATTTCAGAGTGACTTTCTTACAACAGCATTGATGCAAATATGCTTTTCCAGGGACTGCCCCAAGAATTACGACGTGTTTTAATTATTTAGAAAACAATTTCACCTTGAAAATGAATAAAATATAATTTTTGATTTTTCTCCTTTTCCAGCGAATAGCAAATTCTCTCACAATACCCACTTCTCTGTTTCTAAGGTTTGTAGTTACCCAAGGTAAACATCTAACAGCTATGTTTCAACGCTTCTATGAAGATAAGTTGTCTTACCTGTGGGTACAGTTGCTGGAATAAATTGCTCCGGACGTCCACCTGAACTGTTGGAGGCTTGTGTCGCTAAAGGCACGGTCCCAATTACAATTGGCACACGAATGAACATGTTTTTATGTAAACCAGATATCTTAACCTCCACCTACAAAATAAATGTATTACATTATTAGCAGTCATTGACTTCAAAAGAGTGGTTTCTAGTTATTGAATAATGACCCTACGCATACACTACGAATCACGCGGTCCACATTCTCAAGCCTAAGACCTGCTTTAATACTTCAGGGAATCAACTTATGACACTGCAGGGCCTCTGACCGGGAGGTCCTAGGGTTCGAGTTCCGACTGTGGGAGAATTTTCAACACTAACTAGACAACTAGGTCGAATTCAGGCGCTGTCTGGAGGAGAATTCTAGCGACCGGCTGCTCTGATCGCGAGTTTTCTGTGATTTCTCTGATCAACTTAAGTCGAATGTCGGAGCAGTACCCTAACAAACAGGCCTCAGATCGCGCGAGAGCTTTCCTTCCTCTTGGTTTTCTACCTTCTCCCTCTACACACACACTCACATTCACTGCTTTACCCCACTTCTCGGGAGCTTACAGCTTGGTCCGGCGGTGCCACCCTGATGAGGGAAATGGGACAAATTACTGTAAGCCAAAGTACATCGGTGCCGGATCTCACCATCTAGCGGGGGAAGGTCACCGCCAACTCCTGCAATAAATGCATCGGACTAATGACCTTAACAACTGATGCACCCAGAAATACCATTATTCAATCAGCTGAAGCCTGGACCACTTCGCTGACCCTGGTTTGAATTCGGCGAGCGGCTGCGCGCGACAATCCGCCAATCCCGGCGGGGGACCTCCTCAACCAGGGCATACCACCCAGTCACACCGTCGCCGGAGTTATTTGGTTCTTCGCTGTCCGGGATGACCCGCGACACAGTCGGTCGAACTGACGTTTCGGTCATCATGTGGTGGCCTTCTTCTGAGCTATACTGCAGACGCGCGCGATTTTTCCATCTTCTTCCTTGTCTATCCACACACCTTACTTACACTTACATGCAGTACACTACCACACATGCAAAGAAAGCAGTCGGGAGATTATAGCTTGTCCCGTGCTGCTGACCCCAGGCCAGCAGTATAGCTCAGAAGAAGACCAAAGCATGAAGGCCGAAACGTCATCCCGCCAGCCAGGTACCTTTATGGCGAAGCCGAGATTCCGGAGGGGTTATTCGTGGGGCCCCTCGGGAGACGGAGAGTTGTGAAGGGAATAGTAAGTATGTGGAGTTCGGTGAGAAAAGTCGGCGGTAAGGAACTGTGCGCTTGGTAATTGTAGAGTCCAGTCTCATGAGGAAGGTCGGGAATTTGAGGCGCGAATGTTGTGGGAGTAACGCCAACAATTTCACTCAAAACTTTCGATTTTTCGAGAAACTTTATAAAAAAGCATATGAAGCAATAGTGATGCGTCTCGTAAATGCGAAAATGTACAAGAAATTCTCTTTATAAAAATATTCATGTGGAAAAATATTCAATTCAAATATTCAAAAATGTTTCATGTGTAGTTTTTTTTAAATTACGAAAGAATACTTAAAGTGGCAATACTATCAAGTTATTCTGTGCATTGAGCACTATTCGGACAAAAATTAAATAAAGAAAAAAATTGGAGCAGTTTCTGAGAAAATCGTGTGTTAGCGAATCTGAAATTGAAAATTTGAGCTCATTGTCACAGAAAACTATTGAGTTTTCCCGAAACTTTGTAAGACATCATTTGAAGCTCTTGTACTCCCAAATGCAATAATGATACGAATAAGTATCCGGTAATGTCGATATGAACGATGTGAGAGATGTAAAGAAAATGCAGCAAAATGTCGTTTACGACGATTTATAAGAATGCAGTGCATTTTTCATTATGTACTATCCTTACAAAAAGATTGAAGAACACATTTGAAGCCATTTTTGAAAAAAAAGTTTGTAATGCTATTAACTGTGGAGAACAAATTTAATTTGACGAAAATATCGCTATCTTCAGTATTATAGTTTTAAGGACGCCGAAAAAATTCAAACTTTTCAAATTGTGTAGTGTAATAAAGTGTATCTCACTCTATTATATAAAACAAGAAATTAAAAAAAAATAAAATGTCCCAGGGGCTTAGTTTAAAGTACTCCCAAAAGTTTTAAAGAATAGTTATCAAAATCGCAGAGCTTTACGACGGACCAGATCGACCGGGGAATATTAATTTTGGAAAAAAAATCTACGATTAGTTTAGGCGCTAGTGACGTTTACAAATGTCGGACACACAGGCGGAGTTACTCCGGATTATGAAAGTTGCTGCTGATGCTATCAGAAAAGCTGTTCACAAATAGGCTTTTGAAAAAAACTGTTTCGTTTCGTTTCGGTAAACTTCTTCTGTTCGTGTTAGTCATTTTTCTGCAGACCCTCTCATCAAAATGCGGATTACGAATGATAAATTAATTAGGAAATGTGTTGCAGTTGTCCACGCTCAGCTCTAGGACCACGGTCTTTAAACTCGAGTATACTGAACAACAGGGACGTCCAGAACCCTTACGTACACACATATTACGTTTCCTTACGGGCTGCGACATTTGCATGCTGAATTGTCACACTTGGACTATAGCTTCCTTGTTCTCTTGATGTCACGCCATGTGATTTCTTTCGGGAGACGCCACCCAGACCAGACTTGTCTCCCGACACAGGTGACATGCGACAGGTGGTAGTGTAATGCATGTGTGTGTATAAGTAAGGGGTGAGGATACGACAAGGAAGATCAAGGAAAGTTCGCGCGCGGTCCGTGTCCCGTTTGTTAGGCACTCGCCAGATATTGATCGGAGAAACCAAGGAAAGTGCAAATTCTACGAATAGCAGCCGGCCGCTAGAATTCTGCCCCAGTCAGCGGCTGAATGCAACGACTTCTAGAAAGATTCAATCATTGAAACTGTCGTTTATTCGACCTAACTGGAGCTAATGTCGAAAATTCGCCATCTCGGGGCACAAACCCTTGACCCTGCAGGTCAGAGTGACTGCAGAGATAGCGGCAATGACCTATATTCTGACTATAGAAATATTGGTCTGAAGCCAATGATGTGTCTCTCAACGTGCCTACGTTCAAGCCTAAAATAACTAACCAATGCCTTCCAAAATAATATAAATTGCAAAATAAAACAAACAAAAGTTGATTGGAAGCTACTTTCGGCAATTTTCGTCTAGTTGGCACTGAAAGCGCTATGAATATTTACCCCTCACTTCATCCGCAGTGAGTTAAGTGTTGTTTCGGCAAAGGGTTATGCCAACGTACGGGGCTGATTCATCGAAGGATCATTGCAACAGTAAAATTTCGCTACCTTTCAGCGCGAAGAAGTCTGAAATTTTCTTTGCAATAACCCCGATCTTTTCGCCGTAGCTTCTGTAGGGAAAAATTCAGTTCGGTTTGAGGAAGCCTTAAACAACATTGAGTCTGTGCGTTGCACAATTTCCAATGCATTTTTAGGCCAAATTACTTCTCGTAAACAGAGAAGGTGCATAACACTTGGACGATAACATTACTTTCACTATCGATCTCTGACTCAATCGCAAATTACGGGTGATGCCTAAAATGATTCGTTCATCGTTATTTATACAGTTTTATCTCAAACGTCGGGATTATGAGCGAATTAACCGGTTAATTAGCGAATTATCCATACCTAGCGGTAGATGAGTTTAGCTGTAAATAAAATAACAAAACAATAATAAATTATAATAAAACTTTGTAAATGGTACCTCAAGACTGTATGCAATATCAATGATTGTGCAGTGCTTCAGATAGGAAGGTGGCAAAGATGGAACTTCTAAACGTTCAGTCCATGAGTATTTGTCGTTTGATGCCACACCATTCAGCACCATCTGCACAACTTTGGTGCTTTCTGTTTCTGTTTCCTTCTTAGGCCGAGTGACAGTGAAAGAGACGTTTTTGATGAGAGAAAAATGAATACTCCTGACAGTACTATTGCTATAATTTTCCACTTCCAAACTAAAAGGTATCTCCTGGCCAGGAGCAAAGCCAGTTGCAGGTAATGATAATGCACAAGTAATAGGTCCAGATTTGCAGCAACAGCAGCAGAGGAACTTATCATCTGATATCATCACAGGGTTCTGAAAAATATATTTATTAACTTAGAGTATTTAAAGATAAACTGTGTAAGAAAAAGACTGCAATAGAGAGATTAGTGTGTTGTTAAAAAACATACAAAATGTTTAAAAAGGTATCTAATTCTGTGAATAACACACAAACAAATAAACATATTTTAATGAATCAAATCCAGCTAACAGTGATTTACAGTTTCAACATAAAGCTCTACCTACTTTATCTTCTATACCGCTATCCATTGTTCACACTTATTCAATTTTAACCCACTGCAAAGGCGACAATAAAAATTGAAGAAGTAACAGTCTGTTCAAATTTGCAGGTCTAGCAAAGATTATATATATATATATATATATATATATATATATATATATATATATATATATATATATATATATATATATATAATCAATGTTGGTTTGTTAGTATTTTATGCGCTGCCGTACCGTTCATCCGATTGCGATAAAACTTTACCTACTCATTGCTTGCACTTGCGCGAAGAATACTGGTATTGCACCGGGTGTACATTATATCTTTCGTTGAAGATGACGCGTCGCTTGCCTCAGCGTTCGTCCCTCGGTGCCCCGGGAACTGGTCAAGGGCCCCGGCGGACCGGACGATGTACCAGTTAACAAATTTCCTGGCGAAAATATTCCGGATCGGTCGACAATTTTGAAGATTGACAAGAAACTTCGCACTCATGAAATCCGAACTGATAAATAAAGCTTGTCGAAAACGTCATGCCCTAACAGAAGGGAAGGTCAACGACATTTCTGACAGATTACAACAATCTCCAAGAAAATCTTTGAGGCATTGCACGACAAGAGAAGAGAAAACAGCAGCAATTCCTCGAGACGTACTTCAAAGGGAAAATCAGAATATGCTCCGGAGCCAAGAATGCCTTCGAGCTGAAGGACACCTCTTTCAGCATCTTCTGAAGGTAAAGTGCAACGAAAACTCCCGTATGTCAGGACGGGTATTGAGCACAGTATATAGTGTACGTATTTATACAGTAGCTCACCTCAGCCTGTTTTGGGCTAGTAAGGGATGCAGTTAGCGATCCTGGCGGAGCTCATCTAAAACTACGCATAGATGCTACTGAAGAATAGGGATTTTTTGTGAAATAGCGTTTATTAAGAGCTGGTTAACAACGTAAAAGAAAATTCGTATTACAAGCATTACTAGACCTCGTGGAGTTATTCCTGGGATTCCATTGGCAACTTATTAAATAACACGTAAAATTATATTGTACCAACATTTTAACCTTACAATTGACATGTATCAGAACATATTTAATACCTACCAACTGATTTTTTATACTTTTCCAATAAAACATTAATAACAATAGGTGTGTTGAAAGGAGCGCACTGTTCGGCAATTAAATATAGCAATAACAAAGAAAAGAACTCTAAGTTGTATTGTTTATTACTTGTCTAATAGACCTACAGAGGAAATGTCATTACTTCCTAGCTACCCTTATTTACTATTTAGATTACTTACATTTCTACATATTTTCATGAACAGTATGGAAATACTTATTCTTCCTCATGATTTCACTATTAATTTCAAAGGACAACATTCATTAGATTTAAATCGTCTCGATTAGGTTTTTGTCCAGTTTCTCTGATACATTGAGCAAATGCTGAGATGGTCCCTTGTTTTGCTTCTGAACGTAAATGTAGCTTCACTATGCGCACGTTTTGTTGAACTCTCCTTTTGCTTGTAGTGGTAGAAGTAGAGGTTACAAATTTGTTAGTAATGCAGAAAATAAAATCTGCAATTCGTTAACCGTTGAAAACACGTTTTCTATAACTTGGGGGAAAAAATGTCTAGTTTTTCAAATGTCGTGCATTTTTCAAAATTATTATTATTATTTTAAAATTTTGTTTTTAACTTTTATTCATTTTTTAACTATTTCTAGTTAAAATGATGAGAAGGGACTCTGGAACTCAAGAAAACGTTCGCAGATTATCTTCTCCCCCATACGTCACATACCGTGTTTTACTGTTTTTTGACTAAATAAATCTAAATCATTTCTTTCCTTCAAAATGATTCAAAACTTCTACTTCACATATTGTGTTAGTAATATGCATAAGGAAATGAAAATATTATATAAAACCATTTACTTTTTGGTTAAATTTCCGCAGAACGATGCTGTATTACGAACTGTAAGGCGACGAAGTATTCCTTGCTCGCCGTGCGGATCGCTACAGTCGCTGACCAACACGTCGTCAGGGTATTTAACACGGAGCTGGGCTACTGTACAAATACGTCTGTTGTGTGTAATCAGCGCTTCGATGGGCTACCGAGCCCTGAACTTCGCGGGTGACGCCAACATTTTAGCGTTATTGAATTTACTATTGGATGTAATAAAGCTAATAAATGATCGTTGGTATTGTATGTTGGTATGCAAGATTTTTTCATCAGAAGTAAACATGTTTGTAAAAATGTGTACTTTTTTGCGGAAATCACACATTAAAGTTGGTACGGCATAATTCTGAGTGTGTTTTTTTTCACTTATGCATGAGCTCATGCTCAAATTTCTGGTCGGAATATTTACAAATAATACACAGGCGCAACCCCTATTATTCTCGACGCGCTTCAGGTAGAAGATACAGGTAGTGCCCAGCCAAATTGTTTTCTTATAGAGAATTTGTCATTTTTGCTGAATATAAAATGAACTTTTATTGGACTTATAGTTAATATTTTCAACGTACCAATTGATATACTGAATGACTGTTATTAGTAAGGAATTTTAGTAAACGATACATTTTTAATGCGTATCATTGGCTTTTATTGAAGGGGGATGAGTGTTGATGGCCCCTTGATCCTTGGGATAATATATAACTAGGGGGCGGATTTTAATGAAATTTATTTAATTTTTTTCCTTTTCACAATGCCGGTTAGTATAGAAATTCATTTTGTGTTATGACGAAACAATAACCCATTTTTATGTAATTTTTTGCATTTTTCGTCAATTTTGTCTAATAAGTCCTTTTTTACCCTTTTACTCCCTTTTTACTACATTCTTCGCTGATTTCATCGATTTTAATATCATTTTACTTGGTTCAAACAATATTTACGAAGAGCAACAAATGTTCACCACAGAATTCCTGAGTAGCCTATTCTATTTCTTCGCTCATGTATTGTAATGCCAACCTTTGTTAGTATTATATAATGCATAGATTTTCTTATTAAGAACCGTCAGAACCAAAAGTTTGCAAGATGAATTCACGTGAAAAAAAAAGAAGACTCGATTACATTTGTAATATATCAAACAGCTTGAGCTGTTCATCTGAAGTGGTTTTCATAAATTTTTAAACGTCATTTTTCTTTGTTGTAGGGCATTTTTAAAGCATTTTAAGACCATTTTATTGATCATTTTTGGCAATAGTTTAGGTAATCAAACTCCGCCCCCTATATATAACATTCTAAAAAACATTATTAAATTAAAAGAAAAATTCAACCAAGTGGATAGGATAGACTACAGACATTATTTGTACTTAATGTTGGCTTACCTTCACATTTTGTTCACGGTTCAGGTCCAGTGGACAAAGAACAGTGAAGGCAGACTTAGCCACCATGTTGGCGTGCATATCCTGAATCAGAGTAGCTAGCAACGTATATCGTATGTAACCTAATTTTCCTTCGAATGATGATGGAAGTACTGATGGAAGTTGCATGTTGAAGTTGTATATGTGTTCTCCTGGCTGCAGCAGAATATCTGAGGCTATTCAAAACATTTAGAGAATTAAACATAATTCACAGGAGTAACAAGTTTTAGTCATTTCGAGCATTCTCATGGAAAGAATCTAGAAGTGCCTGAACGGAACGCAGTTTCTCACCTCGGTAACGTTTAAATAATATAATTCAGCAATTTCTATCCATATTAACACATTTCAGTCATCACTAGTAAAATTCATTACAAAAGATGGAATAGATGCGAAAACTAATTCCTTAAAAGATAATAGCAAGCACCCAAATTCGACTATGTTTCTTACAGCCAAAAACATCTTCCATTGAGAGCAATAACAACATTAAGAAGGATTTCTCCGAATTTCACTTCAATTATTGTAATCAAATCTAATACCTTGTGAAAGACAAGTAAATAACGTGCTAATAAATTGAATTTCCAAGTGTCCACGATTTACAAAACTTACGTTAATCTACTCATATTTTAAAAAATGCAAGGATTTTTTTAAAGAACTTATTTTTAGAACAGATTTCATTTAACACAAAAATCATCAATATTGTACATTTGCAATGTTGTTTTTTTCTGCAATTTTCGAAAATAAAAAAAATTCGCCAAAAATGGGAACCGCACATCTTTCCCTTCTTTGCTACACACCAGAAAAAAAATATAAAAAATTGGAGCCGTGAATGAAAAAAATGTTTAAAAATAGCCTGTATCACGCCAAATCCACTCATATTTTCGATAAATTGATTCTGACCATTTTTGAAAATCTATTTCTGATGAACAGATTTCATAAAAGAAAAACAATTCTATCTTCATTATTGTAGTTGTAGAAAGGCGCCGAAAAACGTTGAACTTTTGAAAATTTCCGAAAATTCTGGGTGTTCAACTAAAATGCGACTTACGCCGTTTCTTCGGGTGTTTTTGCTATTACACGAAAAAATGTGTTGTCAATTACAAGAAAAATTTTAATAAATTGAAAAAATCAAAATAATCGCTTCAAACTCGGAGGGCCTCGAGTTCCTTTTTAAATCGAACGAGAAATTTCATTATGGAGAAAATCGGTAGAGCGGTTAAGGTGCTAGCGTTGACAACTCACAAGTGGACGAACACGTCAGGCGTTACGCCGTCAATAATTTTTCGCTATCAAGGACCCTCAAAATATGGATTCTCACTACTCAACGAGTTGGGGATTAGTAATTTACTGTGTTTAGGAACACGATTTATCAACTTTTTCCACCAGGGCCCAGCAAGAAGAGTATTTTTCTATCGAAAATTCGCTGTTTTTGGCGCATGATTACAATACTTTCTCGGCATGTAGTAATGTCGAGAAAGTATAATTTCGAACAATGATTGAGAAAATTGTGAAAATATTGAGGTTCAATGTAAAGTACCCCGGAAAAACATTACTAACTCGCGGGGCATCGAGCTTGTTCAGATCGATTAGGTAATGCCAGTTTTGAAGAAAATCGTCTGAACGGATTAGGGGCTAGGGTTGACCACAAAAACATTTTGGCGTCAGTCGATTATTAGGTGTCATGGGCTCTTCACACGTGGATTCGGACTTCAGAACGTCTTATAAGTAATTTACTACATAAAGGAACAAGACTTGGCCACTTTTTCGTAACGAGAGCCCGGTTAAAAGAACGTTCTGTCGAAAAATTATTTTTAACGCAGCATTTTCTATATTGCATAATCAGTAGGCGAGAAAGTTAAATCCGATATTTCAGGATGGACAAAAACTAATTAAAAATTGTACCAACAAGAAGTGAAAACAGAGAATGCATACTAAAACGTTAGGTAATATGACAGTTAAACTATAGAAAGCACATTTGATCAGCCCCTTTAAGAATTATAAGGTGTCTATAAATATTTGGAGATGGTTAATTTGACTGCATGTTGAAGATAAAGTGTAGTTTGATAGTATGGCGAAAATAGATACATTTATCTTCACAGAAATCACTATATCAAATTCAATTAAAGAATATTAAAGACATATTAATGAAGGTGCCTATATTTTAAAAAAATTAAGGATTATTTTAACAGGTCAAATTAAAAAAAATCTAAAAGGAACAATTACACTAGTGTACAATTTTTTTCTGACACAAGTATTACATTGCGAGATCTTTGAAAATTGTGCACTCAATTTACAAATGAGAGTCATTTTCCCTTATCAAGTTAGTTTTTTCTGTTACTTTGAGGTCAACACACGAGGTAAATTCACGAGAGGTTAGAACAACACTGTACCCTACAGTTCTAAAATAGACAATATACTAATTTCTCGTGCTTCGTCGAGTTTTTCAAATGATTACTAAATCCTAATATGACAAGCTCTAATGTAACCCATAACAATAATGTGAGAAAGAATTTTTTGCAACACCACTAAATAAATACAAAATAAATTCTGCAATTTTCCAAATTGTTACAAAAGTTTTAATGAAAACGTGGTTAAAAATTCAGTTTCGAATGAATATTAGGTTTCAATTATTTTAAAAATTGCAAGTGAATGTCAAGTTTTGTTTCCCATCATATTCCTTGTACATCAGCAATATTACGATTTGGAACTTCCTTTCGCTACACAGCATGAGCATGTTCCTTTCATAAGACAAGCCCAAGAGTCCATTACGCCTTCTCGACAAATCAAAATAGAGACAAGTTGCGACAGTTGTATCAACAGTCTGACAGTGTTCAGCTTATGCTCCAGTTTGAAGCCCAGGATGTTTGCCCGCATGGGTGCAGGGCTGAATGGGTTCCAATGGCGGCTGGTGCTGAAAACCGGCTGTGAACTGTTGACAATGGCAAAGGTAGCTCTCCCATTGCCCGAGGCAAAATATTTATACCTCTTAACAAGCATGTAGTAAAGTTATTATTTTTTTAATGTGTTTAAAATGACGCACGGTTTATCATTGTGTTAGCTTTACCAGTGTGGGTCAGGGGTAAGCTCGGAGTAAACCATGCCCTTCATTACACGCGCGAATCATTCTCACGTATCGGATTTGCAGTTAATATATTCAACATACATAATAGATCAACCAGAACAAAAAATGCAATACTCACACGGCCCGCCCAAAACATAAAATGGAGTATCAAAATATAACTCATGGGATGTGTGTTCTTCAATACTCATCAAAGAATTTCCTTCTTCATCTTTTTCCTTGATCTTTTTCTCCCAGTAAACTCGAGCTTCACCTCGGAATTTAAGTTCTATACCTGAAAAATGAAAGTAAATTGTAACGAAACTCCGCAAGTTATCATTTATATATCTATTCGAGAGCACAAGCCAATACATATATAAGTAATGCAAAAATATTCCACGAACTTCCCACGAAAATACACTAATTAAAACAGGATTTTAAACAATTTAATGAAATAAAACGCAGTAGTGCAATTTACATCCATATTGATATTAATTTTAAAACAGGAAATTGGCAAAATTAAAGCAGATTATTTAAACCACATAGTGATATAACGAAAACGTTCAAGCAATAAATTTCTGACAAAACCCCTTTTCTTAAAATACATAAGTTCTAAAATTAATGAATAGTCAGCTTTGGCATAAAACTTTGAACAATGGACAGGAGGGTGGGAATGTTGGAACAGGAGGAAATAAGTGGGGAAATGAAAAGGGTCATTTGGAGGACAGCACATGTGACACAAGTGGAGCCTTAATTATTTGACATAAGCATTACTATCTTTGAGATCTTTATGAACTTCTTACATTTTTGAAGTGTTAGTTATTTTAAGTATCTCCACTCCCTAGTCTATGTAGTCACAAAAGAGTGGAAATTTGAAACCCATATACAATTAAATTGAAAGTCGAAAAGAGAGAAATATTTTGTACAATCAAAGTGACTGTTTCATTTTCTGAGCAATTTAATCTCCACGCTAGACATTGGTTGGGCCAGTAGTGATAAGTGTGTGTGTGTGTGTGCGGGGGGGGAACGGGTAAGGCACTAGTTACTATCCCATTATATTATCACTAGAGCCAGGAAGATCAGGTTAGTTTTACCTAAAAAGGCAGGCAAGAAGGCATTAATTTCTACTAAAATAGGCATGCATTTAGTCTAGCTTACTTAGGGGTGCAAAACAGGCACAGAAACAATAAAAAATCACATTTAAAAGAAATTGGTGTAAAAAATTAATAATTAAAATGATTCACATTTTATACTTAACATATATTAAAATCAAATCTATCACACTTAAAAAAATAGACATTATCAAACTACTTGACGTATGTATAACACGTAATGTTTTCACTTTCAACAACAAGTTTTATTCTCAAACTCAAGGATTAGCTATGGGCTCCAACGTTTCCCCTCTTTTCGCTGAAATGTTTATGGATAATTTTGAGAAAACCATATTTAGTAGCTTGAATCCTTTCCTCAAAAACATTATTTATTTTTACAGGTATGTCGATGACATTATACTTTCGGTCAGAAACTTCTAGGCAATTGAACCAGTTCTTTGATTTTCTCAATTCTTTTCACTCCAAATTTAAATTCTTGATGGAAATTGAACAGAACCATTCCCTGAATTTCCTTGATTTAACCATCACTATAATAAACTCAAAATACAATTTTAAAATATTCAGGAAACCTACTCATACTGATACAATCATACATTCCCCTTCTAATTACATTTACAATCATAAATTTGCTCTTTTTCCACTCCTGGATCAACAGACAATTCCAGGTTCCCATGACTGATATAGATTTTAGTAATGAAGGCGATACCATTCTAACCATTGCATTAAATAATGGTTAATGATTCTCTGAGAGTCAATAAACTTATCCACCAAAAAGGCGTAAAAAATTATTTTAAATAAAGTTATTCATTAACATTGCGCTATAGAACAAAAGAAATTTATTTGCATCACCTACATAGGTCCTGTATCTAAACATATGGGATAATGTTTCACCAAATACAATATCTTAGTAGCCTACAAAACCTTAAACTCCCTCGAATCTTTATTCCTAAGTTTTAAATCACCTATCCCCCCATTGAAAGAAGTGGCATTTATCATCTAACTTGTAATAACTGTAATTCAGCATATGTAGGGCAAAAAGGCAGAAAATTTTCAGTTAGAATTAATGAGCATATTAGATGTTGGAAGCAAAAGTTTGACACTTCCACTTTTGCCAATCATTTGATTCAATTCAACCATTCCTTTGACCCTAATTATAATTTTGAAATCTTGCACCTAGTCAACAAAGGCACAAAAATGAACGTTTTGGAAAACTTGGAAATTCTAAAACTTTTCAAAAATACTAATTTTTCTATCTTGAATGAACATTCCTTGATTAAAAGCAGTCCCATTCTAAATATTCTTTAAGCTCCTAATTATTCTTTTGACCTATTTTTCCTCCTTTTTTGCAATCTCTTTATCCAGTCAACTTGTTAAAAATTTGTTCTTTATATAATTAAAATTCTAGAATCTTGCACATTCCTAATTTT